AAGTCAAGTCTGTTTTGCCCATGATGGTAATTGGTGAGCGATCTCCCTCTCCATATCTCAACTCTTGAGCTTTTTTTTTCTTACTTTCTCCTGTTCTTCAGCTGAGGACAGAGAGGGAGAAAGCAGCTTGATGGGCACCTGGCTGACCATTAAGGTTAGCCCACCACAACATACTACTACAGTTTTTATGAAGTCCTACCCTGGCCTGGTGGGCCAGACAGACCTATGTATTTATTCACTGCACTTAGGAGTAGTATACTATAGCATATTGTCCATGTATCCATTATCACTGTTTTACTAGTTTCCTAGTATTTTTAAAGCATTTCAACATGTCAGCATCTTCCTAAAGTTCTGGACGAATATTCACTAGATTAATCAATATCCACTTTCATGCCTTCAGAACAAGCATTCCATCAACGCTAAGCTTAATCACCTCTTCACCAAAGCTGGATTACAAAAAAAAAAAAAGAAAAAAATTAATGCTGTTTTCAACCTTTCTCTTTCTTACTCTGATACATTTCTGATGGCTAAATAAATTTTACAAACCTAACTCAGTTTCCTTTGTCAAGGTGAAACACATCTTCAGTAAAGCGAATGGAGATCTTTCTTGAACTTATTTATAAGTCATAATACCTCCAATTCCCTATATATTTACACAGGTTAGATACTGGTACCAGTCATTACAAGCAACTCCACAGAAATTTTACATTACACTAAGGCTGTAACCATTATGCTACTATTTGTAAAGGACCGCCATTTCTGTACTTTAAAACTAGTATGCTAACAGACCCCTTATTCTCTTGTTCAGTCTACTGGAAGATGCTTTGAAATCTACGACGACTTGGTTTTGCTTAGAAGGTCAAAGTAGAATTAAAAGGTATGTGGAAAACAACTATGAAACTCATCAATCTATGGACTGTAGTAAAATTACTGAGAAACAAGTAGTTTTCACCTTTATATGTCTACTTAAATAAAGCTATCTGCAGGAGCTGGAAGTAGTACTTTAATAAACAGAAGCATAGAATATTAAGAACAGGAATAAAAATCCCCTTCCCATCCATCCCCTCACAAACACCAGAAGGCTGTTTCTGTATATAAAATTCAATACAGTCATGGCAACCTGAAGACTATGAAGAGAGGAAAACCAGAAACTCACTCTTCAGTCTCTAGAGCTGACAAGCAAAGCATAATAATCTTGAAAAACTAAGAAATGCAGAGCCTTTTAGGAGAGTCTGGACAACACAGCACACAGAAATCCTACACTGCTGCTGAAAGCTGAGCAGGGCAGAGAGGCTTGGCTTTTCACTTAAATCTGCATGTTAACTTTAGTAGTGGGACTTTCCCCCACCCCAAATCTGTTCCTGCTAGATACTTACTGGCTGAAATGCCTCCATCTGGCAATTTTTTCTGACACTTTCAATAAAGAGTTAACAGACGCAAACGTTCAGTTACTCTAGAAAGCTCTGTGCACTGCACAAAATGAAAAGCTGATTTTTTAAAAAGAGCGATGATCATGAGAAGCAAACAAAAGATTATTCCAGAATAGACTTATACAGGACAAGCTCAGAGAAACTGGACAGACCAAGATAGCGTTGGAATTTATATGCGCAAATCACATAATTGCTTGATCTTGTTACTTACACCATCATAAGTAGAAATTTTCTTTAGGATACTCCTGAAAGTATTCAAAAATAATGCAGGAATATGAAAACTTTGTAAACACAGCACAGACACAGATAAATCAATGCAGACTGCAAATATCGTTTTTTTGTAATATCAAGTACCTCACAATCAAATTTTATGGAATTACTCTGTTGCACAGTTTAGATTGAGACTGAACATGGTAGCAGAGGGCACAGTACTAGTACATAAAGCATTGGACAGTATAAAATTTAACCTATGATTGACATCATGTCAGATACCACAAAAACATCTTACTAAATAAAAATGCATATCTTCCCCTTCTCCTTAAGTAGTATGACATAGAAATAACTGTATGATATTTCCAAGTTATTAGAAGAACAAGACCTTTTCGGCAAGTTGATTTCTGTAGTACCACAAGCAGATTAAAGTGAGCAATTTACACATTTATGCTTAAAACTCAATTATTATTATTATTACTGTAGAATCATAATCACAGAAAATTCATTAAACTAATTGCTGTAGTATGCAAGTTAAGATTATCACTGTAAGTTTGTCTTCTCTCCATTTATTTTCCTATTTAACAGAGTAGTGTCTCTTGAAAAATACATCACCTTACTAGATGACTGACTGGAGGGCTGCGAGACCAACTTACCCAGTGGGAAAATTTAAAAAGAAACCACTGGTGGAGAAAAATTAATGAAAAACCTTTTTTTGCCCAGACAGCAGCCTTTTGTCTTTCAATGCTGCAGGCCCATTTATTACGTATTTGCTGCATTTCCTATCATTTTCCACAAAATTTTAAGCTAATGTGCTCTGATACACTACTGTATCACAGACTCAAGGAAAGGATAACAATTTATGTCACATTCCCTGTTACAAAAGTAATTGAGCTCACTAAGTCAAATTATCAATCATAATTTGGATAAACAGTGCCAAAATTTTAAAGAAAGGATTCTTCATTTGATAAGAAGTCAAATGAGTTGCAACCACCACAACTCTATTACTATGAACTAGCAATTTTCACATGTAAGAGATTATTTTGAAGCTGCTATGATGTTGCTAGCTAGGGGAAGGAAAAAAAAAAACAAAACATTCACCTTAGCACTGAACTTCAAATTCTCTATTAAACTGACTTATGCCTCCACTGACTTTTGCAACAATTTCTGTACTTGACAATAAAACCTCAAAGCACCAACTGGCACAAAAAGGAAGTGGCTTGTCTACTGACAAATAAAGGCCAATGTAATGTCTTCAATGCCCCACCACCACACTGCCTACCATCCTGCAGACCAAGTTCAGATCTCAGTCACGTTCTGAGCCTCCTCTAAGAGATCTCAGGAATACCCACAGCAAAACCTTCTGTCAACAATGAAACACTAAAGGATTACAGTAGAATTATTCCATCTTCACTATGTGACTTTCTGGACAATTAATCTTCCACATGCTTCCGACCAATCACAAGTCCATCTTTATCACAAAATCCAAGATAACTATTTTGAACATAATTTAGACTTAACTGGACATAATAGCTTTGGAATAATAATTACCATTATAATAAAAATCACCAGTATCCAACTAACCAATAGTTACATCCATTTGCAGAGAAAAATAATCAAATTTGTATACAGATCCTGTGCAGGAGTTTATGTAGCTCTGGCCCTGTGAAGGTGGGGTGGGTCTGCTGACCTATTTGTTACAGGACGCTCGGATCACTAAATGCAGAATCCCCTCATGCTGGACCTCCCTCATGCTGGACCTCTTCTCTACAATAATTCCACTCTACAGTCTCTCAGCCAATTCCAAAAGTTGGAGCCTATCACCTGGCTGACGCCCTCCATTCCCCACTTGTTTAAAATTTAAACATGTTCATGCTCTGACCTGTACTGTACCTCACAGTCAACACACACAAGACCATTTCATTTTTCCATTCTCAGCTCCCCCTTAAAACTCTCTGTTGTCACAGTGAACGGATAAATCGCCTACAGTTGGGGTACTGCTGTGTAGTGGCCAGAATCCATCAGGCTGACCAAGAGTGCCTCATTCTTTTCCTTCACTCACCATCTGTCTGTATCCATCTCCCCTTATCTTAGGCAGTCCTTACGGACTGTATGCTGTCTGGGCCAATAACCATCTTTTTTCATTCTCTATTTGTACAAAACAGCATGGAGTTCTCCTCTGTAGTTTTTAATAAAATAATGAAAGTGGAGCTGTTCAATACAGACTTCATAAACTTTGGTTTATACAAAGAACACAGAAAAAGGTCAGAGAAAGAACAAAAAAAAAAAAAAAAAAAAAAAAACAACACAACCTACATCCACTTCTTCCTATCCAGCTCTGCCTTCCAAGACTCCTCTCCCCTATTCCAGAAAAATCAGTTTCCCAGTTTTCAAAAACTCATAAATTTAAATACGTGTATGCCAGGTTATGACTGTAAGGAAATATTTCAATATATTCCTCTTAAAGAACATCAGTCACACTAATTCAACACAGGAAAAGTTACTGCATAATAAAAATAATCTATACAATTTCACTGTAATCGATGTGTTTTGTAAATAACCCAAAATATGCAAAGCCTTCTCTAAATGACAGTTGGTCATTCAACAATTCAAAAGAAACACTTAGAGCTTTTTTTACAAGACATTTTAAGCACTCTCTGTCACCGACTAAATGTCCTCTCCCATTTTCACTGACAGTCATCTCACCATAGATCTCATCCCTACTTGCCCTCTGGAAACACACAAGCACTCTCCACTTAGGGGACTGAAAGCAAAAAGAAAACTGGGATCCCTTGTACCTCTCTCACCATTGCCACCGCAGACCCATGTCTCCCTCCTTTCTTTTCTACACACTCAGACCCTTCCTCTAAGAACTCTTTCATTTGGCCCTACAATCACTATCAAAGTAAACTAACAATAGGTTGCTTCTCTTCCTAATAAGAAGAGAAAAACAGGAAAAAACCAAAGTCCTAACACCACCGTGGCTTCAGAGTGGTCACCACAAAAATCACATGCTGCAGTAGCAACTTGTGCTTGATCTCTTTCTCCCTAATTCTGTATCATCTCTACTACATCACGCTTTCATCCTGCACCTACCACTTGGTAGCTGTCCTTCCGATCAAATACCGCAGCCCTGCCTGGGAAGGGAAATATAAACCAAGAGGCATATCCCAATTAAAACATATGCCACTGTGCTCTAAATTAATAAACACAAATACTATATTTAAAGGAACCAGGTTACCCACTACCAGCAAAAGAGAGTGGAAGGTGGGATGCGAATGAGAAGGAGCGACAGAGACACAATCCGAAATAAATATTCAACACACAAAGTGGAAGGAATGTAATTTAGAAATCAATTACATATTTAAACGCCTCGTCACGCCGGGGTAGTTCATGCTGGAGGTGAACCAGCTTTCCTCCTCCTCAGGCTGCAGCAGCCGGTGCCACCCGCCCGTCACCCTCCCAGCGCCGAGGGGACGCGGGCGGCACGACCCCGCTGCTCCCCTCACCCGAGCCGAGGGCGCCCGCCGACCCCGGGCCCGGTGCCGGGAGGGGAAGGGCAGGACCCTGCACGGCCCGGGCTGCCCCACGCCCGCCGCCGGGGCCGGGGCCGGCGGCCGTTAGGCGGGGACAGCGGCCGTTAGGCTGCGCGCGCCCGGCCCCGCCCGCCGCACCTGGATGTAGTTGGTCTCGCAGTACTCGGCCACCCGCTCCAGGTTGGTGTAGCTGTCGAACAGGGCCCGGCGACCCCCCGGGATCTCCTCCTCCAGCAGCATCTGCAGCTCCGCCATCTTCACATCCTCTCACCCCATCCGTCCGTCCGTCCCTCTTCCTCACACACACCCCCACCCCTCTCCGCCCCCTGCCCTCTCCACTCGCGCCGCACCACCACCCCCCCGCCCCCCCCCGCCCCACGGCGCTGCCAGGGCCCGGCCTCGCGCCGCGGGCAGCGAGCGCGCCAGACCCCCACCGCGGCGGGGGCGGGGCGCGGCCGGGCAACACCTCCTGCGCATGCGCCCGCCCCCCGCAGCACCACCACCACCACCCCCGCGCTCGCTTCCGGTCCGGCGGCCCAGGGGGGCTCCGCCACCGGCAGCGTCTCGCCGGGCCCCCGCTGCAGCGAGTGGCCCCGCCGTTGTTTTGGTTCGGGGGCTTTTTCATGGCCGTTTGTAGGTGGGGGCCCGCCCCCCCCCCCCCCCCCCCCCCCCCCCCCGTCTCGTGTGTCCCCAGCGCCGGCAGCAGCCGCCGCGCCAGTCCGAGGGGCCAACACCAAATAACAGCGCGCGTTTACGTTTTAGGAAATCTTGGCTTTTTCGTCATCGTCTTGCACCGATGTGCTCAGCGGCCGCTTGCTAGCAGCGATCTTGCCAGAGCGCGGGTCTCGACGCCAGAGCCGCTGCCGCCCCGGGGATCTTTGTCTCGGAGGGCAGGGGCAGCCAGGGGCAGCCCCTGGGCTCTCCTCGGCGGCAGAGGAAGAACAAAATGTTTCTTTTGTGCGGATCCTGTCTGAAAAGCTGCCATTGTACAGGGGCGAGAGGAAGGGTAAATTCCCGGCTGCCAAGGAGTCGGCTTTTCAACTTTAACAGAGAAAAGCGTGTAGTGAAGGGTCAGCAGAAATAGAGGAAGGAGAGCCTCGGGGCTGGAGCGCAGCACTGAAGCCACGAGTTAGGAGGTCTCTTTGGTCAGTTCCTGGCTTTAATGCCGACTTCCTTTGTGTCCTGGGCAAGTCACTCAGTAGCTCTACAATGGTGATGAAAATGCCCACCTTAAGGGGAACGTGGAAGGCTTTCACACTGAATTCCTTCCTCTGAAACTAGAAGTAGCCTTTCTCCCACAAAATAATAAAAAAAATATAATTTAAAAAAGGCCCTGTCAGCAGAAGCATCCCAGCTTTCTCTAGGGGAGATAATTTGTCTCCTTGAAATGGATTGCAGCTGTGATTACTCACCTCACGTTCCCATTAGGCTCCACAGAGGTCCTGCTACCTCTGCAGCGTAGCCCTGGGTTATCTGACATCACTTAGGTACTCGGACAGCCTGATACTTCCCCAGCCTTCATGTTAGACACTTCTGTGGTAGCCACCAGCTAAAGAAGATCCAGTGCTGCAGTCCTCATACACCAACCTGCTACTATAGACAGAGTCCTTCTCTTGCCTTGAAAGCCCTTGCAAAGGCATCCAGGTAGATATGCCTGGCTTCCAGGTGACTTCTTGAATTACAAACAGATTGCAAACACCTGGTGGGGTCAGGCAACAAAGATGTAGTCTTTGGGCCAGCCCTTCTTCCCTTAACAGAAAAATGAGATAGAAATCCCTGCCTGGAGACATTTCCTCTTAGCTTGCTTAATTCTCCCATGTGAAGGATGAGTCAGGCACAGCGTTCATTATACTGCTTTAAAAACCCCCATGTGCAAAGCATTTTTTCCTATTTTTAAATGCGGGCTAAAATTCACAACTTCAACTACTTGATTGTGTGTTTTAATTTTTCTACAGGCAGTTAAAGTGCAAAGGGTAATTCATATTTTACAGATGCGGTAGTCTTAATCTCACAAAAAGGCTTAGGAATCACAAAACACCCTGCTAGAGACCCTCCCACCTGGATGTGTGTGGAGAGAAGAGGGGTGGCTGCTCCAGAGCACCCCAAACTCTGTCACCCAGCAGCCACACTCCAGCACAGGGCTGTGTGCTAGTGTGGTGTCGCAGCTCTCCACAACAGATACTGGCACTCCCTGCCCTAAAACGACCAAGGACAGAAGAAGTGAGCGTCATGCAGCCTTGCTCTTGGTGCCCTCTACCCCCAAAGTTTATAAACCATGAGTTATACATCCAAAAATACTGATTTTGCTGTAGTTAAAGAATAAGCTCCGGCTGTCAGAGCCCCCTTGCTGATTGTTAATGCGCATTTTGAGAGAGCTGATCTGAGCCTTTGCTGCAAGGGCTCCAGGAAGAAAAGCCAACCAAATCAACTCACAAAGGACTGCTCCAAGCCTTGTCCCACACCTCCAAGAATCAGCCATGGCCAGGCCTCCACCTCACCCTGGGGCCTGCAGCTGATGAATAACATCTTCACACTTGGGTAATGGGCCCCACGATCCCTCCTCTGCTGTAGCTGCTGCTTGGACTCTGCTCATGTCGCATCTGCTGCTGCTGCAGCTCCAGGGGTTGCTTATGCCCACGCTCTCAGGACTCTCTGTGTTTGTGCCAGGCTGGAGGCAGGCTGAGGCTTTCCTCCTCTCTTCATTCATTTGCTTCTCAGGTGTGAAGACAAGCTGTCATTTGGCAGCTCCCCTGTAAACCTGCATGATCTTTCCCTTGGCAAAAGGAGAAAGCTGTCAAGATGTGAAGAGGAAGGTTCTCCAAAGATGCTGTTAGAAGTTTTAACTTGGATTAGCAGCACCAGACTGTAGGGAGGGGGAACTGTTAATTGTATCATCTTCTCTCTGTGCTTTTGGGTGCCATCAGGGCCTGATTTCAGTGGAAACCTGTGAAAGCCCATCTGCTCTCAGATCTGCACTCAGCGTCAGCAAACCTTCTTAACAGGGAGCTCCCATCTGTGGGTCAGGCACCTCTTGACCTCTCAGTGGCCCTGCCAGGGGTTTTTAGGGTGTAAGAAAAAGCATTATCTGAAATATATGCACACAGCTGTTCACCAGAGTAGCTGGACTAACCTGTCTGCATAATTAGGTGCTTGTTATCACAGCATGTTTACATTTTAATAGGGTACTCTTGTGGATTTAAATTTAAATATGAAGAGCCCTTCTGTCAGAATAAGGGCTGTCCTATAATCTTCTGTATACATACAAAAATAATTAGAAATAGTGTTTAAATTAGACTAGCTGAATCCAACTACCACTTTCCTAAATTTACATAAATGACTTCCCATCTGTCAAGTGATGTGCTAAACTAATTTTAAGTTTTTATTCTCCCTCAGCCCTAAATACAGTATTACACACTTTAACTTTTCCAACTTTTTTTGAATTCTTTTGTGCAAGGTTTTCCCTTAGATCAATATCTTCAAGACTGGGAAGCAAATGTATTTTCCACCTAAATGTGCTGTTCAGTCACCAGAAAATAGAAAGGCAAACATCTAGCTGGAAACTCCAAATTGAAGGTTGAGATCCAAAAGCACAGGGAGACCGCTATTCTTCCAGGTTCTCTCAGATGCACTAGGTTTTTACCACTGCCAGTCACCCAAGCGAGTCCCCTGCTCACAAAAAGTTGCACAGACAAACCAACCCTTTGGTCATGTACCGTCTCGCAGCTGGGCACTTTCTGTGTGTGTCCCATGTACCACAGTTTGAATTAACCATTTAACCATTCTTAATTAGAGAAAAGTAATAATGGGGTAGCTCAAAGGCCATCTATTTTTGCCACCACAGTAAGAAATCACAGTCATAAGCCTCCTCTATTTTCTTTGCTATATGGGAAACTAAACAGCACAATCACTGCATGGGGGTATGTGAGTAAACATCCCATTTAGACAGATGACCAGGTCAGATCTCTGACAGATCCCACTGAAGGTTTTCAGTTCACTTGTGTAAATAACCGCTCTACTTTTAGGAATTCTCCCCTTTCTGAGCATTTTTCCCTTAACTTTTTTCTTTTTCACATTTTGTAAATGGTAGAAGCAAAAGTTAAAAGTCCCTGTGCTTGCTGCATCACATGGAGCTGAGCAGATTTGCAGCTGGATAAAGGACAAAGGACTCTGACATCAAACTTATGGTCATGTGTACTGACCACATAATAATAGTTAGGCTCATGCTCTTTAGCCAGCAGGTAACGTTTACTGGAGGGATGGGGGAGGGAGGGAAAATTAGGTGACCAAAGAAAATAGTCTGTAACTGAAGTATGTACCTTCACTCCCTCAACAAAGACATTGTCGTGCCATCCTGCTTGCTCCACATAGTGTCTGGATCTGCCTCTGGCTGGACAGCCTGCCTTTGCCAGTCTCATAATCCAAAGCACTTGAAGAGAACAGCAGTTTATTTAACTCCCACAGCCCTTCCAGAATGCCAGGGGTGGCCTCACAGCACAGAATGCAGCTCATACACCTCCAGTGCTGTAACATATCTGTCAGGATACCGAGGCATCTTAAACCCTCAACCTCCAGTCCTCACTGTAAACCATAATGAAAAACCCACACACCCTGCAGCTGCACATTCTCCTCCCGCTTCCTCGGGCATTCAGCAATTTGCTGGGCAATCAAGATTGTAACCACAGATAACCTCTCTGCTTATGAGAAACCGCAGCTGGGTAAAGCAGTTGCTGCACAAAGGGTAGAAGTGACCCATGGGGTAGTTTACATCTCATGAAGTGTTTGCCATAACATTGCTCTTTCAGAACCACCTCAGAGGGAGGCAGTGCACGATACTTCACAGCACCTCCAGAAAGGGACAGGACATGTTGCAGAGATTCAGACTGTCTGGTTTAGGACGTGTCTCATCCCAAATACCAAGCTTTTTTTCTAGGAATTCATTTGCTCTTGAACTTTATTTCAACACATCACTCTGAGAGAACGACACAGCCAGTACAAGGGGAGAAACTCTCCAAGGGAGGAAGAGGTCAAGCTAAATAGGAAAAATAATGATCTCTTTCTAACGTTTCAGACTTTAAAAGAAAACAGTTAACA